CCTGGAGTCACAAATAAAGTTCGATTGTAAATTTGATATGAATGAAAGTTACTCCCAAGTCTCTTTCCAACATTTGCATGACAACCATTGCTGGCATTTCTTTAAGAGGATTTTAAGTGGAGAAATTAAGATATTTATTATGCTGACATGAGAGTCTGAGAGGTTTGCTCAGTATAAACCTTTGGGCTACTGAAGCCAAAAAGGCTCACACTCAGTTGTCGGAGCAGAGGAAGAAGACACTACAACACTGCTGCCAAAGAGAGTCTTACCACAGCAGAGATCTCTTCTTTAATCAAAGAATCACAGCCTGGAAGCCTGTAAATACCATCACTCTGCAGAGCCACTCACAGACTGTGATAACACTTAAGGACTGAATTGCCACTGCACTGATTTTCTCACAATGGCTGATGCACATAAGGAAGCTGGCAAGACTTTTGAATTTTTTATTCATGCACACTCTAGGTGGATGAGATGAGAAACTTGTTTAAAAAGTTAAATAATGGATCAAAGTAAAACAGCTATAAAAGGAGAGACCAAGAAAAAGATCCAAACATGCAGAGCAACAGAGGTTTAGAAAAACTGCTTAGATGATCAGAAAACTTCTCCAAATGTAGAGAAGAGCTGAAGCTGGATACTGCATAAATGCAGACAGACAGTAGGATGTTGGGATAACAGGACGGACATCACCACCTTCTGGTGCTGCAGATCCCTCTTTCATAGCTTCCCCAGGGTTCAGCAGGCTTCCGGAAGGCGCTATCCCTGACTGTAATCTGCTCGCACAGCCTAGTAAGTGGCAGCTTCTAAAGGCCAGTTTGCATAGGAGGTGAGATCTTCCCAAGAGAAACAAAGCAAACTGCCCTTCTCAGTGAGCTCTCATGAAAACTTACATTCAAGAAGCAGGGTACTCTATTCTGAGAAAACATTAACATGACACTCAAAGCAGGGGAAAGGCCCCGGATTAGATGGGATGGGGATCTCAGCATTCAGCACCTGGCAGCAGCGCTGCCCTCGCACCGTGGATCACTGCTACACATGATGCACCAAAGCATCCACTTGCAAGAGAACACGGAATCCCATGCTCATGATTGATGGTGTAATACAAGTGGTGTTTGGAGAGCGTGTACCTGTGTTTATATGTTGGTTACTTAGAAACCATGTGCCAGGGGCTATATTTTAATTTACATGTACAGCCACGTAGAAGCATTTCCACCACATGAAAGACAGCATACGGTATTTCACTGTGGCTTCTGGTTTCACTCTAATGATGTCAAAGTCATATATTTAAATTTACTTGACAGCCTGCCAGTTCCAAGAGCGCTGGAGAAGTTCGTCACAGGATGCTGCTTTGACGCTGCTCCACCGCACATTCAGCACTACCTTTCTGCTGCAATTTTAGTAAGCCTTCTAGCTGCAGAAGGACTGTACTGCATAACCCGTTTTACTGGTAATCTCACACGGAACTGAAGAAGGTGATCACAGTATTTAAAGGGTCAAAAAGTTAGAGAGACATACGCAGGGAGAATGTGAGTGGTGAGGCTGCAGTGCCAGGCTATGAAATAACTCAGTGTGGTGTAAATCCTTACTCCTCCCAAGGAGCCTTAGTGTGCCCACACATCTCTCCTGAAAGATTTCTGTTTTATTACTGAATTTATTTTTTGCTTTTGGACATAGATACACAATCTTAAGACCCCTAAAAAGAAAAAGGATTAAAACCAATACAAAATAAACTCCCATAACAAGAACACAGCTCCAGCTGCACTAAACCTAATGCATCCCGTACTTCATGCTCAGTTCTGTGAGCTACATTTCAGAAACTCTTAGGAATCAACTTCACAAACTCTCTTTATATCTAAAAAAGCCTTTAGGCAACAACAAAACTGCTCCAGGCAGTCTATCTCTAGTAAGGGAGCTGTTATCATTCTCATTACATCTAATTATGCCCATATGCTTACCGAGGTGTTTTCAGATGTCCTAGGTTTAAAACACCGAGTTTTTATGTTCTTTTGGAACTCCTACTTCTGGATCAAACTGAGATGAAGAAATAACAAACATGAGAATATAGCACACAACTACAGCTCACATTCCAGGGCTGTGTTTTCATTGGAACTTCCATAAAATACACCCAGAACACTCAATAATGGGAAATATAGCTCTTTTCTTATCCAAAAAAAAAATGTCAATATGGGTTAATAAATTTTACCTCAATTCTCTACTTGTTTTATAGATGGTCTACATCTCTGTAAGGTTCTGTTACAACAAAGAGTGGATAGTTGGTTCTCTCCAGGATTATACCCCTGTGTTTTCATTATTCTTGTCTCCATGCAAGTTAAAGAACAACACAGCCCTCATCAGCAGCAACAGTATTAACCTCAGTACGATTCAGCCATCATCAGAGCCATTCTCTACATTTTTATTGCTTCAGAGAGTATTCTCCTACCAGAGCAGGACTATGGAACATTAGTGTATATTGCACAGCATCTTCCTTTGCGATGTACAATTCTTTGTTATTATATATTCATGGAAGAACACACAAAACACATTTGGCCATCCAACGCTCCCATGTTTGGGAGCACCACTGATGAGCTGATGTTTCTTTCCGATGAGCTTGTGAATAAACTACACACTGAAATAACCACAGCAGCAGGGACTGTGAGTGGCTACCTTGAGAACACAGGTGAGAAAGGAAACACAATAGAGCAGATTCACATCCCAGCCCCAACTCCAAAACAGAGGGCTTAAAAACACAGGTAGCAAAGTCCTCACAACTCAGACTTTGCTCAGCTGCTTCAGTACATGGAAAGCTGGCAGAATACCAAATATTAATTTTGACGAAGCTCTGCATAAGCTTTCAGCAATTATCAAATAAAGTGCCTCTACAAGTGAACCAAGGCTATTATCAATTTGCTCTTGATATAAGGAAGCGATTTTCATGTACTTACATCAGCTCTCAGAAGGAACAGAATGGTTCGTAAAGTTTCCATTAGCATACAAAAGCAGTAACATCTGCTGGATGCCTTAAGAGGCCCTTATTGCTGTCACTTACTCAGCACGGCAGGCTGCAGTTGGACACCTCTGCCCACAGCAGCACTCCAGGGATGGATGCACTACGGAGGCGCGTTACAGGCACTTGGGGCGAGGAGGGGATAATCTGACCACAGAACAGTTCCTGCAAGTCTCCGATATCTCTAAAGTCCTTGCTCTGTTCTTACCTATCTGAGGATAAGTAATCAACCTGTGCTGATCATACCGTGCATAAACCTCGAAACGGCAGCCTAGCTGAAGTCGGTAATCCTTTCGTACAATACGCGACTTAAACGGGATGGCCTTTCAGCAAGCCCAAGGATTTCATCCAAACTTACCATCGACTTCACTGGAATATGCTATAGCTGTAGCACCATCTAGAGGATTTAAGCTGTAAATTCCTCACACAGCGGGGAAAAAGCATGGGAAACTGCTCTCGAAAGTTGGGAAAGGAATCTTTAAACACAGAGGTTTTGAGTGAATTTCCATTTTACCATTCACTTACACAGTAGCTTTTAAAAACCGTAGGCATATGCGGAACACGGCAGACAATTTAAACGTATTTCTTCAGTTTATAATATTTGAATTCGTTGAGGTAACAGAGGATTAAAATCAAACTTTGTTAACAGACAGTGAGATTGTGAAAGATTTTTTTAAACAAAACACTGAATGATTCCACCTGTATGCACCAAAAACTGACAGAATCTTCCTTTCATGGTTAAGCAGCTGCTTTATTAAAGCGCTTTCCTACCCAATTATTGTGACATTATAAATTGATTCAATCTTAATTTCAATCTTAACACCAACTGAAACACCAGAGCACGTTCCCACAGAGTCCATAAAATAAATTAACGAGGAGATATCATTACCCAGTACAGCAACAGTTCGCTCAAATTTCTCCTGAAGATTTTTTCAAGCCCTCGATACTACTCTGCATAGTTTTATATAGGAAAAGTGCACCTATAGTATAAGACCACTAAAAAACAGCACACAAGAAGCTCCACTGCAGGAAATGTCTTCTCACTGACCCTCAGGAGCAACAACCAAATTCAATTTGCTCGCGTTAGCAAATTAATACCTTGCAGTTCATCATTTATTTAATGGATTTCAACTATTGCAGATCATTCACCACAAGTGTGCAAGTCAGAAATATATAAGAACTTCTTCAGTTGACATAAGGACTCAGAGCCCACCCACGGCACACTGAAACAGCAGTGAGCACCATTCCAAGTCAGCAGCTCCTGGGGAAGGTCGCTTTTACCTTTAGCACAGAAGAGATTGCATCACCCCACTGATCTTGTGAGCAATAAACCCCATCTGTATCCCCCATTCAATGGTTGATGCATGACTGATAAGCAACGTAATTTCTAGCGACGCATCTGTGCTAAAGATTTCAGACTTCTAGTTCACATGAACACATTTTGCATTTCTCTTTCTTTCAGAACGGCATCAAAATAATCACCTTGTATCAAACCATTTATTTATTGTATATATTCATAAGGGCTGTGAGCTAAAAATCTACGAGCGGACTCCAAGCTTTCAACTACTATGGTACATGAACTGATTCCACTGAATTTCCATCATGGCTATTTAGCTAGAAATAAAAACAAACAGCTAATTTTTTCAGCTTTTCCTGTATTATTACCAATCAGACACTGATTCATTTCACTTTATAGTCCAACAAAACTGAAAACTTCTAGAGATCCTAAGTACGGTCAAGGAAGGAAGCAGGGAAGCTACAATAACAGCTTGCAGAGCTTTAGAGTTACCTGATATCAAAATTATCAGTCATAACAGCAATGTTTTTCCCGAATTGAATTAATTTATGCTGTTTCATAATGACCAGCAGCAAAGCAAGACTGTTTACAGCACTTGCATAGCACAGTGCATCCAGTGACACAGCACTTCTCTCCTCCCTCCCTCTTCCTGGGTCTCCAGGTTCAAGAAGCAAGGAAGGATTTAAATTCCCATGGACTTACCAGCAGTCCTCTTCCTCGTTCCCATGAGCAGAATTGCATCTTCTGCCACAGCCTGAAGAAAAGAATACAGAAATAGCTCTAAGTATTTTCTACCTTTCTGTTGATGTTTTGCCTCAAAATTAATTGGCAATCAGAAATTTTAAGAGTTCAAACACCACACTCTTAGTCCAAGCATCTGATATCTAAGGGGTTCACTTGCTGCTTTTGCTAACATATTCAAACTCACTGGGAAGCACTCCCAAGGCTAGGAAGCACTTCTGTTTCTCAAGCAGCAACACCCCAGTCCTAATATTGTATTCACTACTGTGTCCAAGATATATATATATATATATATCTATATACCTGTTGCTTGGAATCTGAATTCTCAGTATTTCAAGAAAATATCTTCATTTACTGTTACAAGTCTAAATCTGAGCCAAGCCCAACCTGAGCACCTGTGAGGGTCCTCACGTTTCATCCTTTCATCCTCAGCATAAATAACACTTACAAGAGCGCTCCTATATCGTGCTAGCTGCCACTTCACGTACTGTTTGGTGGGTTGTTGTTTTTTTTGTTTTTTTTTTTTTTTTTTTGTGTGTGTGTGTGTGTTTTGTTTGCAAAGCCAAGCTGATATTTGCACTGGTTTCAGAAAGACTGAAGCATCGTGCCTCCATGAAGGAAAGCAGCAGTGTTGAGAGAAACTTCTGGGCCACTGGAACTGCCTGCCTGGTTACTGGGGCCAGGATCACCTCTGTCCCTTCCAACCTGTCACCCTACGCGTCAGTCCTGTAATTCAGTTTCACACTTCTGCAGTTCGCCAGCTCGAGCAGTGAAAGGCCATTCCGACGACAGCCAGCCGCCGCTTCCCGCCTCGTCCCGAGCCGCACCGCTCCGCTCCCGCCGTCACTTCCGCCGCTCCCCCCAACGGCCCGGCCATGGTAATGGCGCTGCTCCTCCCGCTGCCCCGGGACGGGAACGGCGCTGGGGAGGGCGGGGGCTGCGGGCGGACCCCGGGGTGGGGCGGCCGGGCGGGAGCTGTGGTGCTGTGGTGTGCTCTCTACCCGTAGGCTGAAACGGAGGAAACCCTAAAAAAGATTCAAGCGCACAAAGGGGGTCGTGGCGACTATGGTTGTCAATGCAGAAGGTAAAGCACCCTCGGCTTTCCCCAGTGCAGTGAACCCAATACTGCGGAGACTGCGAGGCGATGAAGCAGTCTGCTTGCAGTGCTTTATGAAGACGTTCCCAGGAGCACGTGTCAGGTTGTAAGGCAGAGCAGCACAGCTTGTAGCCGTGTCCTGGTGCCCCCGTGATGCAGGCTACGGTTCAGGTCCATGGGACACAGAAAGCATAAGCTGATGAAATAACTCATAGTGCAACCTTCATGTAGCTTCAGAACTTAAGCATTGCTAATTATCTCCTTGTCTGACTAAATGGCATCTCATTTTTCAGCACCATAGCTTGAGCATCACTCAGCAGGTTACAGAAGGCAGAACACGTGGCACTAAGCTGTTGTTTTGACAGGTGTTTTTCAGCCCCAAATCCTTTGTATTCGCACAAATTCACTGCTGCCTTGATTCTTCTGAAAAGTCAGGAAAGAGCAAACAAGGAGTGATGTGTCTACTAAGTTGGGCTTCCGTTGTTGGGAACCATTCCTTGGTTCTACTGAACACTCAGAAGTTCTTTAAACTGCGTTACGGGGTGAGGAAAAGGAAGACTCTTGTCATGCAGTCTTTGGTTGGGATGCAAAACCACAAGCCAAAGCAAAACTCATCACAGAAACCAGTTTTCAGAAGCTAGGCTTCAGGTTGATCTTTGAATCATTCCTCACAGATCAGACAACTCAGTGACCTTGGCTGAAATTTGGTTCACTTCTACAACACCCTCAAAAACACACTGCACTGCCAGCAGTTTTGCAAGTAGAAACAACACTAAGAACGAAACTTGAATGTTACTTCGTTTTCAGAAAATCTGGACAACTGTTTTGCATGCCTGGGCATGCTAAGCAAAACATGCCCTTGTACACAGAATAGATGCAAGCCCAGAAGCTCACAGCCCAGCAAACAGTAACCAAAAGCCTTCTTTGTGCTCATTTCTGGATATAAGTATTTCCTAACCTCAAAACACAGGCTGTTTTCAGAACTGGTATTGGTTGAACTATTTCTGCATCCTGATTAAATAGAAAGTGACTTATCTACGTAGCTACAAACTAAAAAAGAACAAAATCAACTCTAAGGTAACACAGATGATCCTCGCCCAGTTTACAGACTGATACATTTATGATGGCAAAAGCATCAATGTAATCTAATAGAAAAACAACAGATTTATGCTCAGTATCTTGGCACAGTTGAGTTCCTAGCAAGTAGGTCAAGTATGCTTTTCCTCTCTGGTGTACAACTGCAGCAGTACACTCACATGTACTTACTACTGGTGCAGTTGTGCAATTGAGGGACACTCAGATACAGCTGTGAAGAATTCTCCTGACAACACCATGTGATTTCAAAGGCTCTTACATGCTCCTTCTGTCTCAACTTTTATTTACAAAGGAGGAAGAACACTCCAGAGCACAGCTTTGGTGGGGGGTTTTGGGCATTATACCATTCAAGACAAGATGTAAAGTCTCCCCACCATGTCCTGTTCAAACTTTCCTGCCCTCATAAACCTGCAAAACACGGCCAGACTGAATTCCATTGGGCAGACTCATTCAGGAATCTTGGTTTTAGCTTCTCATTTAGAAGTCTTCCTACACCAACTGCAAACACAACGGATGCTGAACTCCATGAGGATGTACTCAACACACCAAGAAATCAGATTCCACAAACTAAATCTCAAAGCAGATATGTAGTTGCATAATTTCATAGCATGCCTACCCCTAAGCAGCACTGCTCCATCTAAGTAGTGCAGATATTCTTATCTTTTACAAAGGTTTCCTAATAGTATGGGTAATAATTTTGGTATAGCAGCATTCAGATGGAACAGCAAACGAAAGATTCCTGAAGCTAATATTGCCTGTCATTTATTTTAACATTCAAAGTTGAGTTTTTCATTGAAACACCACGCTAAGCATACATTGTTCATTTTGTAAAGGACAGCAACAGTTGGAGATTTTCATTTGTGAAGGATCACACTGCAGCATTTCTAATGAAGGATTTATTTGCTTCTCTCTAATTTGGGGGGCAGAGGCAAAGAGCATTTGTCCTAAAGTAAGCACAGTTTAGCTTTCATCTAAGAATGTCACTAGTGTCAACTCATTTTCAAGTAATTATTAGACCTTGGAGAATCATTTAACATTTACCATTTTCATTAAAAGTGCTGTATTTGCTGAAGTGGTCATTTAGATAAGAGGTCATATAACCCTGACACATTCACTGCTGCTTGTAAGTGACTTACTATTTAATGCTATGATTATATAGATATAATCATGCTAATGCAGTGCTCATGAGCACCTCTTTTGTTTTTGCAAAACCTCTTTCGATCTGCGTAATAAACATTACACACAAAGTACATGCTGGGTCATCCTGTTAAGCTTCACTAAGTATCCCGCCAACACAGGATTATTTCTCATGACAGCACTGATTTCAAGTGATTCAAATAATGCTCTGCTAGGAAAATTATGGAATCGTCTAATATCTGAGGAGGTTCTGTTATTTCTTTTGTTCATTTCCCTCCAAGTCTTTACCTGCCATTCCCTATCTTTGCATGTTAATTCTTATTCCGTAAATCAAACTCTTCAACTTGAGTCATTTTACTCTACGCTTGTATCCCTATCCTGTCCACCTGGGAAAACTGCCTTGTTAACTTCTAATCTATTGTCTTTGTTCGTAGGTCAAATAATTCTTTTATTAGTGAAACAAGCTTATTAAAGCCAAACACTTATTTTACACTTGCAAGATTACTATGAACCCTATGCATCCAGCTTCACTTGGTAGCCTGTTAATATAAAAAGCATGATTAACAAAATTCATTGAAAAACAATGATTCATTGAATCATTGAAAATTAATCTTATGTAATCACATTTTAATAGTTAGGATCAATACACTGTCAATATTTTGCATGCAGCTATAAAGGATGGTTCCAGAGTGGCTTTGCTTGTCTAAAGCACATACACCACGTCGGCCCTTAGGCTGCTCTTGGTACTTGGCTGGAAGAAGAACTTCCATCACTGCATACTCATTCCTGGGACCAAAGTAACAAACTCAGGGACAATGTTTAAACTGAGGAAGCACCAGTGCTGGTTAAGGACTACTGAAGGGAATTTGAATTTAAGAGCTTTGAAGAGCAATTACTCTTTCAATGGCGCCATAAGGCAACCCAATGCTTAACTGCCACTGATTAATGTAAGTTACACTTTAAAAAGACGCAAAGATACCTGCAATGAGCAACTCCTTGCTGCAAAGCAGGAGAAAAAAAAAACAAACCATGAAAACCTTTGTTGTTGTTTTAAACTCTGCTGTAAATAAATAAGAAACTTAACTAAATGGCCAAACGAGAAAATTATTTCTTTTCAGGAATTCCAATAAGAACAACTCTTGATAACTCGACTACAGTGCACTATGCAGGTCTCCTTCATCAGCTCACCATGAAAGCAAGGAGAACAGTGAGAGATATTGATCCTCAGAATGATCTAACCTTCCTCAGGATCAGATCAAAGAAACATGAAATCATGGTAGCTCCAGGTAACGTTTCTGTTTAAAGTGACAGAAAAGTTTCTTTTAACTGTTCACCAGTAAAGCTACCGTAGGAAACATATTTTAAACACACGTGAAAAGAAAGCTACCTATTCAGCATGGAAACAAGTGCTATTAATGTACCAGATTTGCAGCATTCAAGCTTGTGGGCAACAAAACAAGCCCAGAGGTAGACTTAACTTCTTAATTTCTTAAAGCAAATATGACCCTAATACATTCACTTAAATATTTCTTTTAGAATAGATAATAAATAGCTATCCAACAGAATTTCCTCAAAAACTTCCCCAGGCTTTTAGAATTAGTTGGCAAAGCCTGGCATGCTTCGAATTTATTCATAATAAAGGTCTACCCAAACCTTTTCTGCTATTTTCATCTCTAAATGGGGTTCTCAATTCTGAATAAAGCAAATAGTGAACTGAAAGAAGTTTCCTGCACCTGCAGAAGAGGCTGCAGATGCCATAAGTTTATTATAACAAGCGTGACCGTCTGCTTCTTGTTTAAATATATTTAGTTTCTTGAAAGCAAATATTCTGCTTGCTAATTTTAAACGTTACAGTTACAATTTATGACAATTTTAATCTGAAATCTGGTTGTTGTGGGGTTTTTTTGTTTTTAAAAGGTGTAATTTTGAAAATTACATGAATATTATTGCTTTTTTCTTATATTAAAGAAAAAGAAGGTAAATCAACTAAGGACTGCTTACGAGGAAAGAAGGAAAAACATTTTAACAAAGCAGTGTTAAACGCTTTTGCGGATAAGGAGTATCTGCTGATTGTTATCCAGAACCCATCCGAATAGACCAGCAGGATGTTATTCTCAGACAGACCAGCTCTTCTTGCTAAGCTAACCTTCCTTACCCATACTTAGCACCAAACACAGCACAGGTTCCACACAATTGTTCAGTTGTGACTGAAAGCGCTGCCAGTTCCAAGTCCTGTTGCAGCTGTATCAATTTGTGCTTGAGCAACTCAGAATGTAAATATTAAAATACTGGTTGCCTTAATACTCTGATGAACAATAATAAAGCAAAATGCTCAAACTTTGATTTAATGGATGCCCAAGTTGTTCTTGAAATTAAGACATTTTACTTAAATTTAGCTTGCATGCAGGAGAGAATGTACTGTGGAGGTCACAGAGCATGGGAATGTGTGTGTACATCAATGTGTGACTGTGAGAGAGTAACCATTTACATGCACTGAAGAAAACAAATGTGAATAACATAGTTCATGCCGTTATTGCCCTGCCTTCAACTCATGGTTTTTTTGAGTCTTCCTGGGGAAGAAAAGTGAAAAGCAGGAGTCTTTGCTGTTTTCCACTTCCTATGGACTGAAACATTGAGCATTTCCACTACTGAGACACTGAAGCTGACAAAGTTGAGTTGGCACTCATATATAAAATTACTATTAGCTTGCTGCTAAACAGTGTTGTAATTAAACCAAAACATTTGATAACTGCTTAAGTATTTAGATCCAACACACAAGCTGCACTCCCCAATGACATGAGATAGAGGGCGGCAGTTAAAGATCCCAAAGCAGTTTCCCAAATCTGGCCCATGTACATTATACACATATATTATCAACAACTCTAACATGTGAAGACTGCTTGTCTTCAGTTTATCATAAAAACTTTTTTATTATTATTCCAAATAAAGGAAAAAAGAAAAATATGTGGGATGTCTATGAGGATGAAAAGAAAAATGAACCCATTGAATATTGCTTAGGGATCTTTGTATTATATCATACGAATTGTGGTTGAGGTTATGAAACCAATAGATCACCAAACGTCTCAGTGGACATCAAGTCAGCAAGTTGCTCTGAGGGCTCTGCTTTGTATCGCTTCAAGCTTACACAAAGGAGAGTTCTTCCACTGAAAAACCTGAGAGCTTTGAGATCTCAAAGGTTAGCAGAGATTCAACACCCAGGAAATGGGCAGCAGAGCTCACAGGAAGATTCTGTGCAGCCATGCATTGAGAGCAAGTCAACCCAAAGGCACAGAGACACAGTTTGATGGCAATTAAGCACAGCAATCCAGCTGGGCAGATCTATTCAAAATAATAAGGACACATAAACCAAAGGGACAGCTATTGGTGACAGTATACAGCACAGTGCAAGAAGAATGCTATTACTGCTAGGGTGTTTTTGGAATATGCACTGGAAAATAACTACTTTAACTTGTTATGAAAAAATATACTGACACATAGCGATTTTAATACTACACTTTCTACTTTTCTGCATTTTAATTATCACCATATATTACTAAATCCTTATTCTAACATCCTAGCATGTTAAATGCTTGACAGTTCAAAGCCCAGATTTTTCATTTCAGCACAGACTCAAAAGTACTGCTGAATTGTGACTGCTAGTAATGGGTGTTTGGGGCTAATAGTTTTGTTCCTGTAGTTTTCTCTAACAGCACTGAATTCTATGGAGGTTTTGCTGTGTAACTCCAGCAAACTGCCAGAATTACAGCCCCTGTTACAGTTTTTATTGTCAAAAATAATATTGGTGTTGCGATGCCCAGCATCAGCAAAATACATACTGCAGCCCACACAACACAGCAAAGAGAAAAGCTTGGAATCTGGCAAGGCTCCTTCATTTTTGTCCTTCTGATACATGTGTTAGTTCCCTTTACAGACTTTAATCCAATATTTATTAAGCAGCTGATGATTGCTCTAGCTTGATAAAGCACTCAAAAAGACACTTACGTCAAACCGTTCAAATTAAACACTTGCTAAATCATTTTGTTGTGGTATGAAAAAATGGCCTTAAGCAGATGCACGTTGTTCTCCAAGGGTCAAATATTGCTCACAAATTACTTTCACTGCTCCTACAAGAGGCATAGATGCAGATAAGAGGGCAAAGTTTGGTCTGTTTATAACGATGTGTGTAGTAACAAATGCTGTGCAAACACGTGGGCTCAGCCATGCTTCTGCCAGATACTCTTACAAGGGCAGTCTCTAATCAGGTTTCCTTGAAAGCATTGTAGTAGCATACAGTTTTGGCAACTAGAGACCATAAATTGAAATATTTCATTTCATTTCCTGGTGATTTGTTCCTATTTTCTGCTAGCAAAAGTAAACTGAACGTGTGTAAACTTCTCATTTACGTCTGTTAGGAAATGGAAGTAGCAATAGTCAATTCCCAGTGGAAAACCCTTACCAGCACATTGATCTAACAAAGATGAGCCATTCAGAAGGAATGGAGTCATACAGGGAAATAATTCCTAAGCTGAGCACCACATAAGTGTCACACCTCATCATTTAGGCTGTCGTTAATGCGAACCAGCAGAGATTACACTAGTTAACAATTAACTGGAGGAGGCTGAGGAAAGAAAAATATACAGGTGATCATTTTGTTAAGTGAGTGCAGAGGATGTCAAGAATGGCTGCTGCCCACTGAAAGGTGGTTTTTGGGTTCAGTTGTAACATGCTAGTGAGGCATTCAGCCAAGAAGAAAGTCCATATCATTCATTTGGGATCCTCAAAATAAACTAAAATAAGAAGATCCCACAGATTCAGCCTCCCACTTTCAAAAGCACTGTGGAGTTTCTTGAGCACATAATCTTCCCCAGTGTACGGTCCTTCACAGGACAACAGCTTCTGCCTACTGATTATTTAAGGCAGTTGTTCATTCTCCTAAAATTGGCTTATCTGCCAATTAAACACAGTTAAATATTTTATTTAATGCATAGTCAATGCATTTGGTAGTCCAGCTTTCTCTGATTTATCACTTTGTCCACTTCACACTGTGTAAGTACCAAATTGGGTGTTTTTCAGCTTAGACTGAGATGTACATAACTCAGTGACCTAACACACGTGCATTAATTTAACACAACTGTGGGATACAATGAGTGTTTCATTATGCAAGCAGTAATGCATCTGTAAGACAATAACTGCTAACTAACGTGGCACCTGTGCAGACTTAAAGGAACTCAGTATTTGTATTTTGTCAATACTGTTAAATGCATCCTTACAACAGGATGTGCTTACTTGTCCTTACAAGTGTCTGTGCTGATCATAGAACGGCCTGGGTTGAAAAGGACAACAGTGATCATCTAGTTTCAGCCCCCTGCTACGTGCAGGGTCCCCAGCCACCAGACCAGGCTGCCTGGAATCACAATCAGCCTGGCCTTGAATGCCTCCAGGGACGGGGCATCCACAACCTCCTTGGGCAACTTGATGTACCAACACAACGCAACACTGCTTCAAAGCCATCAGCTTATTGAAGAGGATTTCCACTGTTGCCACACCGATTAATTGCAGCATTTCATACACTGCAACCTCTGTGAAGCCTCCACTTTGCAGGCAGCTGATAGGTTTGTTTTTGCCAAACAGGCTGTTTTACTGGTGCCTCACTTGAAGTAATGCATTTCACCTTCTGCTTACAGTTAGAGCAGCAGAAATCACATCTCACAGACACGAGATCTTGTTCTCAGCATCTCTTACAGAGAGTGAAGAGTTTCATGCACTTTCCCACCGATGATGTTCTAAAAGGGAGGGTACAGTTTCCTATTGTCACAGTTTTATTACTCATTCCATTGATCACCGTTTCCTGCTGGGGGAGGTGAGGTCTGTTTGCACCATTTGCATTCAAAACAGCAGAGCTACATGGAGAGAGGAATTGATTCACACACACCATTAGTCCAGCCAGATGCCATATTAGAAATTGGCATAATCTGTAATATTTAGGTTGGAAGCACCAACCAAAAAAGTTCCTAAGCCCTTTGGGTGCAGAAGTAATTTCCCCTGAATTTCCAGGAGAAAAAAAAAAAAAAAAAAGGAAAAAGGAGGTTTGTACCTGGGAAAAGGAGTTTCATTTTGCAGTGTCATTTTTGACTTCTGCTGTAGATCATACTGAAAGACAATATTTACTCAGTGTCTGTGAATCAGAGAAGCACAGGGAATAATGCATACACAAATATTAAATGTGCACACTACAAAAAAAAATCCTCACAAGAAAATTTGGCAACTCAATGCTTAAATTAACATTAGCATATTCAAATCAGGGCTTTTGTGAGCAAGCCTGCTATCTTCAGCTTCTGTTTCACAAAGAACAACAAAAGTGGATATTTCTCAGAGCAGAAGAAGGCATTTCAAATAACATTACAGAATTAAAAGCATGTTTCCTAAACAAATGCACCAGCGCAGGCAAACAATGGTCTTTCCTTCAGCCAGTATCTTTTACTAGATATGAGTATTAATGTTGCTCCAGGAGATAAAGGAACCTGAAAGGTGCTTCATAATTCCAGCTCTACTCAGTCATCCTTATTGACAGGCGTTTCTAATATAGATAAGAAAGATGGAGCGGATATTAAACCAGGACATCTCACCATCTCTTCTTTGTTATTCTGGCAGAGATTTACCTCCAGCACTATCTCTGCGCTGCGGAACCAGTGTCAGTTATTGCAGGTGCCACTGTGGCCTGCCCAAGAGGAAAAGGCATAGGTGTGTGCTAACATCCCCCATCACTGTGAGATCTGATATCCTGCACATTACAATAAAAGAATGGGCTGCTGCACGTCGGTGGGGGAGAAGTGGAGAAAACGAACAGAGTAATTCACCTCCTCATAAGAAAGGGAAATTCCAAATGTCTCAAATTATGATTTTCATTCACTTAAGAGATTGGTATTTGCTTTAAGACCAGCAATATTTAAAAACAATATATTGCCAGGCAAATACAGAATTCTTCTCTATTTTTCAGCAGCTTTCTATTGTGGCCACTTGTAACAACATCCCTCAGCGTAACAGACAAACTTTTGTGCAAGAGCTTGCATTTCTGGCTATTTTTCTGTGTATTTAGCCTCAGAACCCCCTGTGATTCACAGACCACAGGCTGAAACCAGGTTACTTTGCTCTCTGGTCTGGCCATTAGATGGCAGGCAACAGAACAACCACGCTTGTGCATTGTGTCCTTGAGTTTATGAAATAAGCATGAAAATGCTGCTGCTTTCTAAATTTGTTTGCTTCACGTCCACTAATGATTAGCTACTCTGCATCCCAAAGGCC